CTGAGGGGACACAATGACAGTGTACCATTTACATATTGTAAGACTGACTTGGAAAAAAAGCTATAGTATTTCCTTCTATCCAATGAGGAGCTAGGGATGTCCTCCTCTTTTTTCTGATAAATAGTTGACAATTTCAAATAACTGAAAGGCTTAATTTTTATCTTTTTAGATCTTTGCAAATATATGTCTGAAAGTGTCTTTTATTTTAATCTCCTATCTGATTGGCAGGCCAGTGGGGCTCTTGTATAGGGATTGCTTGGTCTCCAGTAGGAACTGGCTGTTTCCCTGTCTGTCTTCTGTCCCTTTAAAATCAAGACACTATTTATCTCTAAATGTAGTAGCAGGTTCTAATGATGCTTATCTCTCACTAGAAATCAATGTTTGATTTAAGAGTAATATTACATCTTTCTAATCTAGTTCCTAGGTCTGAGTAAGTCCTCTAAAGACCTCAAAGTACTCTTTAGGGTTGTCTGAAATCTTTCTTAGGTCTCATTTGATCTGTTTTAGGTCACTGAGAGGGAAGGACACATAAACACAAGTAGTCCCGTATTTGCCACTTTCTTTCTGCAAGGGATGTTGTCTTTGAGAGACATGAACAACTTAGCTAAGGATGGATAATAGCCTCATGGAGGTTTTTTTGTTTGTTTTTGGTGCTGGGAATCGAACTCAGGACCTCATGCTTGCCAGGCAGGTGCAGTACCACTGAGCTACATCCCCAGCCCTCATGGAGGTTTTAATTATGGCTGTCCCAGAAACTCCACCCTCAGCACCTGGTGGTTAAGGCTTAAAGTTGTCTTGGAAACTTTGTTTTCAGGTTCTAACTGGCAAGGAGTGGCCTCAGGTTTAGAGATACCTAATACCTTAAGGGCCAGGTGTCTCATTTTTTTATGGCCCAGATTTACATTTGAATGCAAGCAAAGATTACTTTGTAATGTAAGGAAAGTCTGAACATAAGGCAATTTTGACAATTTTTTTTCTTACAGTATAATTCTAGTTGTGAAATACCATTATAATCAATACTTTTCTGTGTATTTCTACTTTAGCTCTAGGAAGTAGACACAACACATGCTAGTGTAGAAAAATACTAAATTGCTCTTTAATACATTCTAAAGAAGTACGAGGTTAAATAAGAGAGAAACAAAATAGCATCTGGTAAGTCTCTGCTCAATTCTTATTCCTGTACTGCATCCTGTAAGGTTCTTCCTCGCCAGGGCAGGTAGCTACCCTCTGGAGAGACCCAGAAAATAAAATCAGACTGGACTATCTACCCTTTTACCAGCCTGTGATCTTATCTTCCCAGAAAACTAACGTCCTTACTCCCACAGGTACTTCTAAAGCACAAGAACAATCCTGTTTAGAGAAGGAAACATTACTAGCAAACCAAGATATTTAAACCATTGCTTTCTAGTTCCTTGAAGAGAGAGGAAAATAGGTCAATGGTCAAATTAGGGAACTTTTTCTGCAAAAGAGATCACCTCTAGAGACAGGTAGGTCAGAGATTCTGCCCAGCAGAGAAAGCTACGAGACATTTCTGTTGTCTATCCAGTTAGTTATTTAGGCAACCTTTATTAACAGCAAGACAAGGCTACTCCTTTAAGGTCCATTTTAAATGCACTAAGTATTTGAACTCTCAGGTCTCCCTAGCAGCTACAATTCATATGTTAGTAAAGACACCTTTATCAGTTTCTTAAGAGAAAAGCTGACCAAATTCTCCTTTTATTCTAGTTAGCATATAAAAATACAAATGCAAGTTGCCAACTGATTGCCACTTTCCCTCATGTAAACAAAACAGCCACTGTAAGCTGTTTCAGCTTGACCCCTTAGAAGAAGAGGGGGGTCTAGGGGCGGGGATTTAGCTCAGTGGTTCCACCTGCCTTGCAAGCGTAAGGACCCGAGTTCAATCCCCAGTACCAAAAAAAAAGAAGAGGGGGGTCTAACCATAAGGTGGTTAATTCTAAAGTTAACTCCCAACAAGTTGGAGAAAAGTTTAAGGGGAGTTTCTAACTCTCTACCAGAGAGAAAAGGTCCAAATAAAGTTTACGCCATTTAAACATCCAAAAAAATCGCCACATAGCACTCTAAATTCCACAGTCAAAATTCCAAAGTCCACAACCTATTGGCAAAGGTATTTTTTCCTACACACAAATAATGAAGACCAGACCTAGGAGGGGAGAGAGAGAAAGCTCGGATTCTCTCTTAAACTTATTAGAGATATTTTCTTTTTCTAATTTTATATGCCTCTATAAGGAAAGTGTAAAGTGGCAGGGAATGATCAGAAATGAGACCAGGGAAAGCAAGTCTTTTCTTCACATGCTCACAGTGAGACAACTCATGAGTTACTGAGACAACTCATGAGTTGTCAATCTCAGCCTGGAAGGGCAAGAATAGGGAGTCTCAAGAGCTAAGATTGTCTTCTCACCAGCAGAAGATCAGACCAGAAAGGAAACTGAGATAGAATAGGCCCAACATTTTCTCTAGAGTATAGAGGGATTGAACAGGAACATCTCAGTGAAACCTGTCCCCCAAGTCTTAAGAATGGCCACTGACCTTTCATCTTTTAACTGATGAATAGGGTCCCATTATTTATTAATAGGCATGTATATTTCTTAAATACAAACTAGAGAGGCTGGGGATTTAGCTCAGTGGTTCCGCTGCCTGCCTCAAAAGCGCAAGGTCCCAAGTTCAATCCCTGGTACCACCAAAAAAAAATCCCTGCTAAATATAAACTAGATTTCATAAAAGACCCATTCTACAGCATTTTTAAGAAACTAAGTCCAAATGCAGCATATACAAAACAAGAATAAAATGTAATTTTAACAAAAGACAATACATCATAAGAGAAACAAGCAAATTTGCAAAAATTTAAAACATACAACTTAAAATTTGATAGGTCTCCCACTTCCTCAGCAGCTATTATGTATAGTAGCTGCCCTCTTCCTATTGTGCCTTGCCCCCGCCCCTGTGTGACATGATGCCAAGATGGTTGCTCCCACCAAAGAACAAACCCTTCTTCCCAGCATGCCCCTGTTCCCGCCTAGAGAGTAACCTAATACTCGCTCACCTCCTACCACCTGGTGAGGTCACCAGTTCCTCCACTCCTTAATTACTACCTCACTCAACCCCACCTCAGCTCCTACAAGCCCCACCCCCGCTCCTATAAAAGGCACTTGCTGCCCTGGCCATATTGCTTTTTGTCTCTCCTTTGTTCAGAGACAGCCTGGCAGATCTGTTCCCCTAATAAAGGCTTGTTGTGGCCTAGTCTGGTCTTGGTTTTTGGCCCTATTACCTGACAAAATTCAAGACATTTTGAAACAAAAGCCAACACAAAGACCAGAATTTATGAAACAAAAACCAAAATCTATAAAACAAATGGCCAGAGCCCATGAAAGAAAAAGAATCTATAAAACAAGAACTAGAACTTATGAAACAAATAAATTACAATCTATGAAGCAAAAAGACCAAAGTTAGAACCTATGAAAGGAAAGCAAACTCTTACCTCCAACCAATAATCTCAGTGTAAGACCTCCAAAATGATATAGGGGGTATAGATGCAACTCCCAAACATGCTAGATATCTGAAATTTGAGTTCGTGTTCTCTAAAATCACGAATGAATTCTAGGAACAACAGAGGTTAAGAGTAGGAAAAATTTATTCAGGGAAAGATAGTTTCTGCCTCAGAGAGACAGAGGGGAGCCAGAAAATGGGTTGCCTGCCCACTCCACTTTTCAAAGGTGTTTTGTATGGCAAAGCCATGAAGAGAGGTGGGTACAAAGTGGGTCAAAACTGTAAGACCCAGTGGAAAATTCCAAGGTGGCCATGAGGTGAGGTGGGACAAAACTATGACCAACCAATATTACAAGTACAGTCACCCAGGTAATATTGATTAAATGGGGATCAAATCAGAAAATGAGTCACATACAAGGAATTTTCCATTTAGAATATCAATCACTGCTATTTATCTCTAGGGGAGGTAGTACCTCTTTTCTTTTTTTATAATGCTAATCAATGAATGTGTCACAGTTTTCTTCATGTTGGCTCCTCGCTGTGTTGGCTCCTTGAGGGTAACCCTTTTTAACTCCCTACAAGGTGTCTAATTAACTTACCTATTTACAATACTCCTAGCCTAGACCTCCACTCTTTCCTCCCATCCCCGACAGAGCCAGGCAAGATGTTCCTGGGACTGGGCCACAGCTTGCACTGAGTACTGGTGTTGGTTATCTGTCCCCAGGGAAGGACTCCAGGTAGAAAAGTAGACAGAGCAGATCAGGTCTGGAAGTGTTTGGATTTGGTTCGAAGAAAAGAATTCCAAGATGTGAATAGCTGAGTTAAAGGTCTAGAAGTGGGAAGTGGAGTGACGTTGGGTGAGGAGAATCAGTCTAGGCAGAGCAAGGCCTTCCACCCTTTGGAAGGGTGAAGTCTTGATTCGAGCACTAGTGGGGGGGGGCAGTGCTCTCAGGGGTGAGAGACTCTGCTCTGGACTCTCAAGCATTCATTCACTCACTCATTCATTCAGATGGGTTTTAAATGCCTACTAAGTGCCCCTGAGGAGGAGCTGAGAAGATGGGCAAGGATAGGCATCCCCATTCCTTACTGAGTTCTGAGGTCAGGGAGGTGCAGATGATGGGGGGTGGGGGCACTGACGACACCACTGTACCACTGTTTATCTAGCAGCCTTTTTGTTTCTGCTCCAGACAAACTAGGCTGGTTCCCATTTTTCATCGCGCTGAATCTGAGGCTGCCTCTTTGGTTAAGGTCCAAGGAGACGCCCAGAGGGCTGGCTGCTTACTTAGTCCTTTGCCCCAGGGGAAGCTGGGAGCCCGATATGGACTTTCCGGAAAGGCGGGGAGTTATGTCTGTGCACTGGGGTGGGGGGAGCCCCTTTCCCCGCCCCTCTCCGCCCAGGGGCCTCGGCGTGGCTCTGCCCGGAGCGGGGCGGAGCTGCTGTCGCCCGGCAGGCAGGACGGCAGGGCTTGCAGGCCAAGGAGGCGGCGGGGCGTGAGGTCCGGCAGGAGGGCTCCACCGCGCGCTGAGATGTGACCGTGTCGCCTCCGGAGGACTCGAGCTTCCCGCCCAGGCGACGCCGTAAGTGAGCGCCCGCGCCAGCCGCGGCCCCGCCTTGCTTCCACTTTCATTTCTTCTGCGGTCCCGTCCGAAGGCGACCCGGGCCGGAGGCGGGCTGGCCACACTGAGGCCCAGGGTCCGAGGCTCGCTCACCACAGCCAAAGTCGGGGTCCGGTGGCGGAGTTGAGGGGGGCGTGTCTTTGGGAGAGGAAATGTCAGGCTGGCTCCTCCGGGTCCTACGCCCTGCTTGCCCCTGACAGCTGGTGGCAGAGGAGATTCTTAGGGAGTAGGGAGTAGGGGGTAGGGGGCGGCCTCGGGTGGGCGTGGGCAGCAAGGAGGGTGTGGAGTCCTCGCCTCTGCTTTTGTATATCTGTCCTGCAAGGCTACCAGGCCAGATTCTGAACTCAACCTGGGACCATCCTCAAGGTGAATTCCTGTGTCAGGCCCAGGAAGGGGTAGGAGTGGCCCTGGCAGGGGGCTTAATATCAGAAACCCGTATGCTCTCCATTTGGGAAGCCGAGGCGTACAGGCAGGCAGTGAGTGAGCGAGGCACCGACCATTCACTCAGCATTAGGATATGGGAGCTAACAGGAGAGGCAGCAGTAGATCAGGGAGGATGATGGAGGTTCTGTGAGAGTCTCGTGAGGGCATGAAGGTGGGAGTGAAGAACCATAAGAGGCATGGATAGGAGGGCACCTGCCCTGTACCCACTTCCAAGCTTACATTTTCCTAGGAAAAAGTCTCAGGAGGAAGGTGGGACCCTGCTCCGGACACCCAACTTGCTGGGAGTGAGGGGTGTGCCCAAAGGGGTGTCATTGTATTAGGGACAGGAAGCAGGTTGGAAGGAAGTTGCTGATCCTTTCCCTCTACTGTTCTTCTCTCCCTTATCTCCACCAGGCCAGTGACCAGCCAGTGCAGGAAAATGGTCCTTTGCTCTTGTCATAGGCTGAGCCCCTCCCTATCCAAGTTTCCAGTTCTGCCTGTAACTTACTATGTGAATGCAGGTTCCTCAAGTGGCCTTTCTGGGCCTCAGTTTCCCCATTTGAACAAGTGGGTTGGGCTGGTTGGTTTCTCGGAGCTATGTCAATTCTAAGACTCTTGAGTCTAACCTTCACTTTACAGCCTGAACACTGACTTTGCGCCAGGCCCTGACATAAACTGGTCATGGGGTGTGAACAGCAGTGTCCAAACACCAGGATTGAACTTGGTGGAGTGTGGGCAGGCCAGTGGGAGAAACACACAGGCATGAGAGAGAGCCTGGGTTCAGGGGTCAGGAAGAACCCCTGGGTAGTTGGTGTAGGGAGATAGGGCAGGAGAAGTAGGGTGTAGTGTTGGATGCCAGAGTGAGAGTCTGTAGGTGTCAGTAAAGGGGGCCATGTGACGGTGGAGGACCTGGGAATCCCACCTAATTGCAGTGTGAGTGCTTTGGGAAGTATCTGTCCAAGCAGAGTTTAAAATGGAGATGGCAAGTGAAGAATAGAAATCTCCTCTTCACCCAGGAAGCTCAGGTCCCACCCTGGTACTTCTTTGGAAAGAAGTAGGGAGTGAGGATGAAACAGAGAACCTTGTGCATTTTTGAGGGTTTTTTTTCAAGAGGACAAGGTCCTATTGAGAGACTGTTGCTGCTTTCTAAACAGCCCTCATTTTTCGTAACTGTTCCTATCCTGGCCTGCCTGTTGTGGGTATAAGGAAGGATCCTTGTTCCAAAATCTTCTCCACCAATTTGATTTATTGCCAGAAACACCATCCCCTCCATATGTGCTATGCCTTTAGTTACACTCAGTTGACACCTTGTCCCACCCTCCCTTCCCCAATCCTGCCCCACCAGTTACCAGAGATGTGAGTGGCTTCCAGGAAAGGAGATCTGGGCTCAATGCTCCAGGGCAGTCTGAAGTCAAGGTCAGGCTTTGTCTATGGCTGTATTCAAGCCTCAATGTGGGCCTAGAGTCAAAGCTTAGACTCACCAGGGTCAGCCAGAGTCCCAGCTCAGTGCTTAACTTATACTCAGCCTCAGTCTTGGGTCAGGGTCAGGGAGTAGCTTGTGGCTCCATTCCAGTCTCAGCAGATACTTGGGTCTGCATTTTCTACTACCTTATACACTCACAGGAGAGATGGACAACTGCCCCGAGACCCTCAGAAACCTGGCTCTATCCAAGTGACCCAGGATTTGCATGGGCCAAATCCATGATACTACAAGTGTTACCCAACATCCCAGTGGTGGAGCTGGTACTAGAACCCAGGACTCTTGCTTCTTTGCCTGAGGCTCTGATTGCTGCCTCCCAAAATCTATTCTGAGTCTATGATCTTTCAATTGTAGGAGGCAAAGCAAAGGAAGCTATACATAGGCGCAGCTAGATAGCTCTGACTGCCCTCTTTGTCCCTCCCCCACCCATGTCAGGCTCAGGGTAGGCAAGGTAGGAATGTCTCTGGAGTGTCAAGTGCAGAGGGACAGCCAGTGACTTGCTCATGTTTGGAGCTGGAAGAGGCTGGTTTGGGAGGAAGGCCCTTCAGCTGTTCAGAGGAAGCCGTGCTCTTGGCCTGCCACCCTCCCCCTCTCCAGAGCCCGCAGCCACATTCAGAACCCATCTAGCTGCCCACGTGAGGGCCCTTTCCTCTTTCAGAGTTAAGAAAAAGGAAAGGATATTTTTGGTAGAAAAGTCCCTCCTGCTCCCCGGGAATCCCCAATGCCCGATGGCCGATGGCCGGATGGATACGGGATATCCCATAGGAAGCCGAAAGCCAGGGCCTTCCTCCTCTCTCCAGCACAATGCAGCCCGGCTCTCCCACGCTGCACAGCTGGCTTTTGGGGCCTTCCAGAGGTCATCTTGCCCAGGCCCCTGTCTCCTGTTGGGCCCGCGGGAGCCCCTCCCACCTTTGTAACAATCTGCAGCTAGTCTGATGAGCAGTTATTTGAACCCAGGCCAGCCCCCTAGTGGTCAGTTGGTGAAAGCCTAGAGGAGGCACGTGAAGGCGCAGTAGGAGGAGCTAAAGTAGCCTGGAAAGAGGGTAGGGCGCTGGACCTAGCAGAGGAAGAATTCGAATTCAGTTTGAAGGTGCCGGGGTTGCTCAAAAGTTGAGAGGTGAGAAAGAAGCGATGTATTAGGAACTCAAAGCCCATTTGATAAGGCCCTGACCACCTACTCCCCTGCCCTTGTCCCTGACAGGGCATCCTTAGGTCCTTGCCCCCAGGCACCCAGCTCCACCAGTTCTGGCCATGGCATTGTGCCTGAAGCAGGTGTTTGCCAAGGACAAGACATTCCGGCCCCGGAAGCGCTTCGAGCCAGGCACACAGCGCTTTGAACTGTACAAAAAGGCACAGGCATCACTCAAGTCGGGCCTGGACCTGCGCAGTGTGGTGAGGCTACCACCTGGCGAGAACATCCATGACTGGATCGCGATGCACGTGGTGGACTTTTTCAACCGCATCAACCTCATCTATGGCACCATGGCTGAGCGCTGCAGCGAGACCAGCTGCCCGGTCATGGCTGGCGGGCCCCGCTACGAGTACCGCTGGCAGGATGAGCACCAGTACCGGCGGCCCGCCAAGCTGTCCGCACCACACTACATGGCATTGCTCATGGACTGGATTGAGAGTCTCATCAATGATGAGGATGTCTTCCCCACGCGTGTTGGTGAGTGCACATGGCTGGAGGGTCAGCCTGGCCAGGAAAGATGGGAGTCACTAGAAGTCCAATCCACAGATGCAGCATTTGCTTTGATATAGCAGCTCTGGAGAGTGAGTGATTTTCATCCCCATATTGTAATCTCATGGAAATCATTTCTGTAATATTTGTTTTTCTTTTTCTTTTCTTCTTTTTTTTTTTTTTCCATTCCAGGGATTGAACTCAGGACCTTGCACTTGCTAGGCAGGCATGGTGCCACTGAGCTACACACCCCCCCCATATTGTAGAAAAGGAAAGTGAGACAGGTTAACTGTCTTGCTCAAGGTCAAACATTTAATTAGGTCTACCTAACTCCCATTTGAGGCTCTTCTTGTCCAAAGCATGAATGTCCCACTAGGGGCCACTCCAGCAAGACTACAAACCCCATGATTCTCAGAACCTTCCAGAACAAGTGCCCCAAGATATTTTTTCTTTTTTTTAGACAGGGTCTCACTCTGTAGTTAAAGCTTGCCTTGAACTCACAATGTACCCCTGGCTGGCCTCAAACTTTTGGCAATCCTCCTGCCTCAGCCTCCCAACAGCTGGGATCACAGGCTTACACCACCGCCCTGGGCTTGCCCCAAGATATTCTTAACAGTTCTTCCTGCTTGTGCTGCTCTGACTTCCAGACTTCAGATAGTTCCCTCTGACTCCTGACTCCAAGAAAAGGAAGGGGTTAGAGATTGAGTGGGACCACAAGGTATTTGTACCTCAGACTGAGGTGCTAAGGGCAGTTCTCTACTGTCAGGCTGAGGTCACGGGGACCTTTTCTTATCTCAGCTGTGCAGCCTGGGTGGGTGAGGGAGGGGAGAGGAGGGAAGATGAATGATGTCATCACAGCCCTGCTTCCCCACCCAGGAGCTGAGCAGGCATGATGATGTGTTCATGACCGCCCCACCGGTACCCTTAGCCCGGCTGCCACCGGCCTCCTGCTCATCCTTGCCATATCTCTGGGACTCAGGAAGGCGGGGCAGCTGGTCAAGCCTAGAGGGAAGACGTTAGAGTGCTGAGGGAAGCTGGGTTCTGAGTCACAATTCTATGCCCCAGCTCCTCCCCAGCCCTCGGTTGCCTAACACTATCTTGCCTAACAATGAGCCCCTTTATTTTACATAGGAGGAAACTGAGTCCAAAAGAGGCAGGACCAGCTGTGTAGTGAAAAGTAGTATAATGAAAAGGCAGTTCAAATCCTTACTCCGGTCTCATCTGATTAATAATTTTGTGGCCTTGGGCAAGTGGCTTCCCCTTTACACACTATCTCTATTTTGTCACACCCAGAATAGGTGTCAGGACCATCAATGCAATTATGAGGATTAGAGGCCAAAGGTACCAAACCTGAACTCACAGTTGGAAGTTTCTCTATGCTGTTAAATATTTGAAGGAATGGGGGAATGTCTGAGTAAATTCTCAAAGAATTAGGAATTTTCAGCACTGAGGGACTGGGGCCCACTGCGTGAATGTTGAAAAGAGGAGGGACTCAAGTGGGGCTGAAGAGGGAGGTCAGAATCAGGTCATGAAAGGCCTTGCCTAATGCCATGCTGGGAAGTTAGGACTTAATCCTGAAGTCCCAGGTTTGGTTTTGTTGTGTTTTTTTTGGTACCGGGGATTCTGAAGTCCCGGGTTTTTAAAAACAGACTCAGATGTTGATGTATTCCCCCTTGGAATTGTATGCATGAGTATGATCCCTGCAGTTGCACATATTTCTGGGGAGAGATTGAGCTATAAATTTCATCATAGTCTAAGAAGGGTGATCAGAGCCCAAGGGTGCAGAGACCAGCTTTAGGCAGGGGGAAAGATGGAAAGTGATTTGTATTTCGGCAGGGGAAAGGCACAGTCAAATATGTGCTTCATTAACAAGGAAAGTATGGGAGGAAACAAAATACCTCTCTTTCTGTCTCTCTCTCTCCCCTCCCCGCTTTGTGTGTGTGTGTGTCCCTCACCCTCTGCCTGGTCTCCTCTCTGTAAGAGAGATATGTTTAGAAGGGGAGGCCCACCCTGGAGGAAGGCTGCCTGTGTACAGGAGGGTGGTGCCGGGTTGAGTTTCATCACACGATGCTGATCGCACCTTCTGCCCCACTCTGGCCCTTAGGAGTTCCCTTCCCCAAGAACTTCCAGCAAGTCTGCACCAAGATCCTAACCCGACTCTTCCGAGTCTTTGTCCATGTCTACATCCACCACTTCGATAGCATCCTCAGCATGGGGGCAGAGGCACACGTCAACACCTGCTACAAGCACTTCTACTACTTCATCCAAGAGTTCAGCCTGGTGGACCAGCGGGAGCTGGAGCCACTGGTGAGGCCAAACCCTACTGCCCTTCCTTGACAAGGCTAGCCTCTGGGAGTTTTCAGGCACAAAGGCTACCTGCTATTAAAAAAAACCTCCAGTACCTGATGGGTAAACTAGGGGAGGCAACTCATTTAACAGTGGGTTGTGTACTTTAATAGAAAATTCATTCAAGTGTCAGTTTACATCCCCAGATCTGCACTCTAGAGTTGTGGCTGGTGTGAGAGGGGCCACTTGGGGAAGGGGCTGCCTGCAAACTGAGCTCAGACTGACTTCTCCACTCTTTGTGTCTCTATAGAGGGAGATGACAGAACGGATCTGTTACTGAGTTCAGACCTGGACGTTATTGGACCATCTGAACACAGTGAGGCTGGCAGAGGAGACTCTTGGGATTCTGGTGGTAGAAGAATCTGAAGGCCCCGGGACTCCTCCACATACCCAGTGCCCCTGGATTTTTGGTTCTCAGAAGTCTGCCTATGTGTCCTCCTGACTATGAATGGAGAAGGGAGGGCTTCAAGTGGCAAACAGAAGGAAAGGAGGACTCAAACCCCTGGCATGAAGTCTGGGAGTGGGGTGGCTACCAAGTTCTTCTCCATTACTTGACCCTTCCATGGTGATTCCTAGGCCTATTTGGGAAGTGTGGATGTGGTAAGGTGATGACCAGAAGGGCACAAGAGGGTGAGTGCCTGTGTGGAAATGAGCACAGATGCCAGTGTGAGTGTGGTTGTGAGTGTGGTTCTGACTGTGGGGTGTGCCTCAGAACCAGACCCTTCCTGGCACGTACGTAGGCCTTCACAGATGTTGGATGGATGGGTGGTTGATGTATAAAGAGACTGGGACTCTCTGACCGTGACCACTATAGGAATAATGATAGGCCAGTATCCCCACTCAGGGGAACTGACCAGGCGTGTAAGTACATAAAATGCAGTTGTAGATGTAGTTCTACAGATGATGGTCTTCCATTAGCATGAGTCCTGGGGGAACTGGGTGGAAGTTGGAAAGGGGAGATTTTACCTGAGTTCCTTAAAGCCCTGGCCCACCACAGCTGTCAGTTCTGATTTGCTCAGCCGGGGATGCCAACGAGCTGTCATTTCATTCATCCCTGTATCTAGGAGGCCCTGGCAACAGGGAGCCTTCTGAGCACTGAGATGCTCCTTTATGTCCACAAAGGTCTCCTGGCTCCTAAACTGGGAATCATGTACTCCAGTCTAGCTCCCAGATCTATAAACCTGACTCATAGGATCTGAAGCCCAGCGTAAAATAATCCTCCTGCCCAAAAAGCCAGTGAGACTCGACTTGGGAAGTCTGTGGAGTCTTGTCTCCTGCCCAGGACACTAAGGATCATGTAGCTGTGGAAAGCCCCTATCCTAAAAGTACTTGCCTCCTTCCTAAGCATCTCAGAGACATTCCAGGTGGTTGGAGCTCTGCACAGCTATTTACAGAGAGTCTGGGATGTTCATTCAGCAACCCATTGCTCAATACCTCCATGCCCAGCTCTGTGCGCAGACCCACAGGTGTGGAAACTAAGGCAAGAATAGGAGTCTGCCCTCCCAGAGCCCTACACTAGGATGGAGAAACAGAAGGGACCTAAGAATCCTCCAGTCTCAGTCTTTCAGTGTGCAACAGAGGATACTGGTGCCAGGCAAAGAGGGGGGAAACTGCCCAAGCCTCAGAGTGAGTTTTTTGTGGAGCTGGAATAAAAACAAGGGGTCCTAACTCCCACCCCAGGGCCCATTCATTACTACACAAAGACACACGTGGAAAGAGGGCTTGGCAGACCCTCTCTCTCTCCAGGATGCAACTGTCCTGCTCTAAGCAAGGATTTCTAGCCAGATGCCAAGAACCCCACCACCCCTTGGGTTGGCTGGGGTTGGCTGCTGAGCCAAGCCTCCAAAATCATGTTCTTTTTAATGGCCTAGAAACTGCCTGTCCTCTGGGGAAATGGAGCTCAAGGCCAGCCAGCTGGGCCTGGGACTTCTGCCTCTGCTGATTCCAAAGAATTTCCCAAGAGAAGCATTCTGGCCAGGTGGATTTACCAGCAGCTCCGGAGTAAGGGGAGTAGGAGCTTCCCCCAGGGTAGACTGCAGCTTGCACAATGGATTCTAGGCTGTGGCAAGGCCTGATTGTGGGGAAGGGTTGGGGGGGATCTATTTTTTGTGAAACAGAGGAAAGACTTTATTGTTGTTATTTTTGGTAAAATAAAAGAGGTGAACTAAAGCAGTCACTGGTGAGAAGCTGTGGTCTGGGTGCCACATGGCTTTTGGCAGACTGTGAAAGGAGCCAGGCCAGAATGCAGCTGGGAGGGATTTTGTCTTGAGATCCTGGGCCATGTGGAGGGCTGGCTGGCGTGATCATGTCTGGCCCTGCCCCAAATCCACAGGGTGGGGACACCAAGGTTCTCCCAGGGTTCTGAGAATTCTAAACCATGCTGGCCTAGGAAACCCTGGAGAAGGGAGGGCTGCTCCTTGTCTTCCAGGAACTCAGTCTGATGGAGAATCTTTTTGTTCTAGTTCAGGTCACCTAGCACTGGCCACAGTCACTCTACCCCCTTCATGGAGCTAGTTTTGGGGAACAATGAATAAAGGGGCAGAGTGGAAATACAATCCCAGCCCTAATTACAGGTGAGAAAGCCATTTTTGGAGGAGCTCAAAGCGTGAGAGGTAGGACACAGGGCTCATGTCCAAGCTTACTTTCTAGGACACATCAAAGACTGCTGGCTCAATCCACAAGCTTCCCAGACAGGAATTGAAAAGCAGTTTGGTCCTTAAGTGTCAGCAAAGGCCCCCCCTAAAGTTTCCCCTCTATCTGCAAAAGATCTAGCTTGGCTTTGTGCAAGGGTTCTCCTGAGAGCCCAAGGAGTGGGTGCCAGTCCCAGCCCAGCCCCAAAGATTCCATGGAAAGTCCCTTCAACCTGTAGACCTTGATTTCCCATCTCTTTCATAACCAGAAGTGGGACTGATTGATCTCTCCTTCACTACTTGGAACCTGTAAGTTGTTCATAATAACAGTAATGGCTAATGCTATGTATCAGATACAGTTGTAAGTGATTACATTTACGGTCGTTGAATCAAGTTTGTCTTTAGCCAGCTGCCTGGCTTCCCTCCCAGTCCCCAATATCTTTCCTTCCTTTCACTGCTCTGAGATCTGGAAGGCCCTTTTTTTTCTTTTTTTGTTTCGGGGCTTGAACTCAGGACCTTGCACTTTCGAGGCAGGTGGCAGAACCACTGAGCTAAATCCCCAGCCCTGGAAGGCCCTTCATTCTGCTGATCCTTCTTCTGGCTAGCTATAGAAGGCCCAAACTGCATCATTCTAAAAGAGTGCTGTTTGCACATCTTCTATGACAAATTCAGTACGCAATACTTCAGTTCACAAACACTTCTATTTGCAAACAGTTCAGTTCAGAAGCAAAAGCATTTGGCAAAATTTTGCTTCCCTTTGCAAACTCCACATTAGGTGACAAACATGACCACAGCCATCTTCCCCACACAAACACAAATGCAACCATCTTCCCCAAAATTGTAAAACAAGTTAAGTTCATAAACGAAGGTACCACTGTATCTCACCACCTCCTCCATCACTGGATAGTACAGACTGTTAGAAAGTCCATGTGCTGGGCTCACGGTGACTTTGAAATACTCCATGAAGGTGAGAGTAAGACTCACAATTTCCATGGGAATGTGTGTAAATACATCAAGAAGCTGACATAGATATTACTCTGAGGGATCCATAGAGGAATGCAGAGAAGAATGGACAGAGAAAGGAAGAGAAGAAAAAGAGAACTGAGGCTTTGGCCGTGAGAGAAAAGAGCTCCTATCCCCAGTAGGGCAAACCCTAACAGAAGAGGATCCTGGGAGAGGCATTGTATTGGAATTAGAGTGGCAGCTTGGTTGGAAAGCCAGCTAGCCTTTGTTTTCCTATTGGCTCAAGATCCATAACAATCTTTGGAGCAGAGAACAAGGGAGTAAGCCATCCTCTTCTCCCTGCAGATTATCCTCTTGAATGAAGAATACCCTACTACCTTTGGCCCCATGAACACTACAGCCTCTTTGAGGGTCACCACTGCCACCCTACATAGGGAGCCATGGAACATGTGGTGGAAAGAGCCACAAGCATGGCTGGAGTCTCACCTGCTTTGTAGGGGCCCTCCTTCTTCTGATCCCCCGCTCCCATCCCTCATCTCCTGTTGACTGAACTTGGTTGCCATGTGGGGTGCATAGCAACTTTGAGACTCTGAATCAGAACAGGCCTGAGAGACTGATCAGCTGGCTATTGAGACAGTTGGGGAAACAGACCAGCAAGGCCTCTGAGAGCTGGAAGCTTGGGTGGCTGGAAGGTGTGATAGGTGGAAGATGCTGGGACATACAGGCCTTCAGGTTGGACTGAGTGATTCCAGGAGGAACTGAACACTGAAGCTTGGGAGAAGATCCCATTCCCCTCTAGCCTTCATCCGGATTGGGAAATCCAGCAAAGTCCTAAATGTTCCCTAAAGCTCCTTCCATCATACAGGTGAGGACAGTCCAGAAGGGGAAAGGATAAATGACAGTCCAAGAAACTCTTTAAGAAGCACGGCTCACCAGACCTTCACAACAAGCCTGAGACAGGCATAGAAGGGATGTTTATGTCCATCTCACAAAGAAGGAAACAGCATCAGAACCTGAATGAAATTCACGTTAGGACTGTCGTCCCCTCTCTCTCGTGGCACCCACAGCCTGGGGAAGTAGGGCAGCCTGGTTGAGGTGTTTATCTGTTTACGGTTGATTTTGAAACCAGTTGATTTTGTTTTGTTTTTAATTTTGAACAACTGGAGACATTTTACTCAAAACTTTCATGGGAGCCTGCAGGCATTCAGACCTTTAAAGAAATTTTACAGAATTAGCCCGTTTTTAAAAAGGCTAGAAGCATTTCCTCATATTCAAATGACATTTTAAAATTCCTTCCAGGCTTGCCGAAGCGCTCAGTAAATGCTCATTACATCTGCCGCTGCCGGGAATACCCTCTCCAGGCGCTTCCCTAGCTTCCAACGCTACCGCCACTCGGAAAACAAAGTGTGGAGCTAGGCCTCACCCGCTAGCCAGCAGTCTCCCGCCCTCTCCTTTCACGCCTGCGCAGTTTACTCCGCTCACCCTACCCTCCTCTGTGGCCACCAAGGCGCAGACGCCACTCCGCCTTCCCACTCCCCTATCTGCTCAGGCTCTCCCCTCGAGCCTAGATAGCACCGCCCCTCCCGCGTTCCCGACAGAGATCTACAGGTAGGGGTGCGCGCGACCGCTCCCGTCGTGCTCTGCCAAGGTAAAAAAAAAAACAGCTCCGAGTCCCTCGGAGCAAGACGGGGTGGGGGTCTGGAGTGAATCTGTGAGTCCGAGAAGGGGGCATTCAGGGCCTTCAGAGCGACTCGAGGTCACGACCCGGTCCTGCTGGGGACAGCCGAAGGGGACCCTCTTTTAGGGCTGTCCTCAGGGCCCCGCTGTGACCGGTCAGGGCTGCGTCTGTGCCGAGACCAGAGCTCAGCATGCTTCCCATTCGGGGCTCAGCCTGTGCCTGGAGTCTGCCGGGATTTGGGTTGTGACGAGACAGAGCTCGGTCCGTGTCTGAGGTTGGAGCTCAGTCTGTGACTGGTTTGAACCCCGGTCCTAACTAGAGGTCAGGGCAAGGCTGTGGCAGGGCTCAAAGCTCAGCAGTCCAACTTAAGGGAGTTTTTCACGTGGAGAAAAGATTTTTTTTTTTTTTTAAACAGGGCCTCTCTCTGCAGTTCAGGCTGGTCTTCAACTCACAGTGTAGCCCAGACCAGCCTTGAACTCTGATCCTCCTGCCTCAGCCTCCCCAGTGCTGGAATAATAGGCGTCCACCACCATGTCCGGCACATGTAGAGAATTTATAAATTGTGTGTACTGTGTTGTTTTAAAGCTAGCTGTTTTCACTTATTTAACAATACAGTACTTAAAAGCTCCTGCCATGTGCTGGTGGTTCTCCATTGGTGAGAGGTAGTAGTTTCAGGTGTAGTCTCTCGCCGCAAAGAACTTCAGGCTACCTGTAGGACTGGCAGTGGAAGTTAAAGACCAGCATGGGTGATAGGAATGAGTGTTGCTGGAAGTGCTTGACTTTGGGTTCAGGCACCCTGTGGATCTCAGCTCTGTGACCTCCCAGCTTTATGTCCTCGCGGAAGTCATCTCTCTCAGCTTGTTTCTCCTCTATAAAATGGGATAATAAGATCATTGTGAAAGATGGATAGGGTTATGTCTAACTAAGTTGCCCACCTGTCATGCAGTAGGTACGTAGTTTCTATGACTTCAAGAAACTAGGTCATTTTGGCCTGGGATATTTAGAGAGGCCCTGAGGAAAGAGCTCATCAGATCTGGGCCTTGGAACCTCGATAGGCTTCACAAGTGGAATTGACCTTGCAGGATGGGGAGGGAATAGGCTTTACTGACCACTGTCCATGTCCAGGCAAGGACCTGCTGGGCAGCTGGTGTGTAGGGTCCCATGGATCCCCAGCCATCAGCCAGGTGCTTTCAGCCAACTGTCCTTAGCTTCAGCCACTCTAAAGAGGGCTAGACTGGGAGACGTGTGGAGACTTTGGTACCCCCAACCCCCTGTCCCACCTCAGCTCTCCTGTAATCTAAAGTTGGCTGCACTTTTGACTTTTTCTGGGAGTCCTGTTACCCTAGCGCTTAGCAGATTTTGACAGTTAGGGGGCCCTGGCAACTCAGATCTCATGAGGCTCAAACAGAAGAGAGAAGTTTTGTGAACAAGAGCTAGTAGAGCACAGCACATGTGTAGTTGGGAAATGCATGGTCTCCTGTTAAATGGTCCCACAGTAATTCAGTAATGTTTGCTTTTGTATCCTCTTCGTGTCCATGTGATCTCGTCTTCGTGTCCATGTGATCATGTGTCCACTGTTCTGATCAAGTTGTACTGTATCTCTGCTCAGACTTCATTGGTTGCTGAAGAAGTCTCTCCTTAATCTTTCTCCCCAAAACCTCTTTTTCTTGTTTTTCCAAACCTGCACCCTGTGCCTCAGTCAAAATAAACTAGTCTGTGTTCCTGAAACAGCCTCTGCATTGCTGCTCCAGCCTGTGCTTGTATTCCCTCTTCTTTTCTTCTTTCAAGCCTCATGTTTCATGTGCCCTGCTTAGAGTTCCTGTCCTCCTGCTGGATCAATTGCTCCCCTTCCCATCTTCTGCATCAGAAGCTGAACCTCAGCTAGAGCTCTTATCACAGTCTGCCTGGGAATGTAGTACCCCGTATGTACTCTTGAATACATTGGTGGCAAGGGACAATGTCTGTTTCATTGCTCCTCTGCCTGACACAAGGCTGACACACAGTAGGTCTCTGCAATCTTCATGGTTAAATCAGTCAGTACATCTTTTATGTACTTGCTTTGGTTTTATGAGCTGCCTGATTCAGAGGGAGACTTTGTGTTTTTCTTTTTCTTTGTGGCTAGAAGGGTGGTAGTTTATATTGGTGGTGGTACCCTAATTACAGGCATCAAAGGCCAGAAAGTGTAGAAATTCTGCTTGAGCCAGGATCCACATTGCCACCCTTATTTTTAGGCCAGTGTCTTGCCTTTGCTGTGAGCTTTGTTGGGAAGTCGTTAGTGCTCTGTTCAGGGAACTGCCAGTCTGTGGTACAGGTCACATAGGGGAAAGCACACAGGTGGCTCACAAATCAGTTGTTCTGCCCTTGGCCTGGGTAAATAGTTGTCTTTCCCATGTGAGGACCAGCAGCTACAAATTCGCATTTTTCCCAGCCAACAGCCTCAGCATATGGAACAGAAAATTCTCTGTTGACCATAAAAATATATACATTGTTGGAGGGTTCAGAAGGAGTTTGGGAGCCATCTGGTTTCTATCACTTTCATTTTACAGATGAGGAAAGACTCACAGAAGGAAATGGACTTACTTGAGATTACACAAGGAATCAGGCAGGGGTAGAGATAGTTCTGGAAGTGCAGCCTCCTGACTGTTTTTCCAGCCTGTTACTTTTTAAAATAATTTTTAAAATTATTTATCTTAAATTTTTGAGACAGAGTTCTGTGTTGCCCCAACAGGCCTCAGTCTCCGGCATTCAAGAGATCCTCCTGGCTCAGCCTCCTGAGTAGCTATGACATATGCCACCATGCCTGGCTCTACATTGTTAATACAATATCTAATATTTGTTGAGTGATGGACACTGTTTTTTAAATTAATTTAAACAATTCTATAGACTTAGAAACTGAGGCAGATGGAAATCATTTAGATCTGTTTTCAGATCCTACAACTCTGGTTTTTAGTATGGTTTTAATTGTAGTCACCTCCTACCCAGTGGAGTGGAACAGTTCTCTGGAGAGCTTGCTCCCAGATCCCCCTTCCTCTATGACTGAGCAACATCTTCCCAGCAGTGTCTACCCGTGTGCTGGAGAAATGTCCTGAGAGGAATCCAGGGCATGTTGGCAGAATGGAGGAAGGAATGAAGCAAGTGCACCTGTGTACTAGTGGATCCTGGTTTAGGAATATGGATATACTTCAAATATTGCTTCTCTATTAAGTCAGGCACTAAATACATAGTTTTAGGAAAAAAAATAATTCTGGATCTTTCTATAATGATTCCCAGGTTAGGATGGAAGGATTCAATTTAGTAAGTACATGTTAAGCTCTTGCTGTGTACAAGCCCCTGGTATTGAGAAATATACACAGTGGACAACACATTTCCTGACCTTCTGTAAGTAGTGGTCTTTTTCGAGCCTTCTCCCTCCAGTGTAGCTGGGAAGATAGATAAGTACATAAATAACTGAAATCAGACTGACTATGGCAAATGTAGTCAGGAATATAAACAAAGTGGGAGTTTGGCAGAAGGAAAAATCAATCCCAACACGACCGGCAGATTCTTCATGGTGGGGAAATTTATGCTGGGCCTTGGGGGAGTTCATTCCTGGGAGGGAGAGCAGCCTAAGTAGTGGCCTAGAGGAAGAAATGCATGGCATGAGTGTGTGTGTGTGTGTGTGTGTGTGTGTGTGTGAGAGAGATGGGGAGGGAAGGAAGGGGAAATACACTGGAATGGTAGATTTGGACAAAATGCAGAGGAAGTGCGGAGAACATTAACATTTGTCAAGTGTCTGCCTTTGTGGCTTGCAACATGCTTTATACACTATAATTTATTTAATCCTCCCAATCTTTGTAATACAGGGATTTTTTTTTTTAAAAAACCAAAAACCAAAAAACAAAAATACAGGGATATTTATCCTCAATTTAAAATGAAGAAACCGGGCCGGGGATTTAGCCCAGTGGTTCTGGCACCTGCCACGCAAGCACCAAGTCACGAGTTTGACCCCCGGTACCAAAAAAAGGAACAACAACAAAAATAAATAAATAAAATAAAATAAAATGAAGAAACCAGACCTCAGAAAGATTCAAGTGACTTCTCTAAGGTCAGGTAGCTAGCAAGTGGCACAGGAAGCTCATGATCTTTCCACTGTGCTGTAGAGCTCATGGCCATGATGAGGGCTCCCTTTTCTGTGGCTGAGGGGATGGAGACTGAGTAGAGCTGAGGAGCTCCCAGCGTGGGGACACCAGTGAGGAGGCTTAAAACTGAACTGCTTACCCAGTATGGAAGCTGCCCGGTCCAGATCTGCCCCACCAGGTGAACATGTGAGCATCTCGGCAGCCCCTGCAGGGCCATCCACCAACACACTGCCACCCTTAACTTGTGGAATCTTGGGATCAGTTTCCAAAAGCTGCACACTCCCCTGTATCCCAGGCACAAGTTCTGATGTGCGACTGGCAGTTCACTGCAGAAGTGTCTTCTAGGGAGACACCCTATATGACACGTCTTGTTACATCAGATTGAACGAGAATCTGTAATGGAGGAAGGAGCACTACAAGAAGTGAGACAGAAGGCTGGCATTCAAGGCCTGGTCCGCTCTCCTTCACCTGTGACTCCTCAGTCTTGGCTTCCTTCCCCAGCATGGGAGGGATTTGAGTTCACTTCTGAGGACTTGGCTCTTGCTAATGTCATGTATTGCTTTTCTCTTCCAGACTTGGGGCAGTCTAAGGGAGTGGCACAGAATATGAACCTGGATTCAGAAAGACTAGGGTTTAAGTTTCAGCCTATCATCCCTTTAGAGAGACAGTAGATAGGGTATAGACTAGAGCTAGACTTCCTGGGTTGGAATCCTGCCTCTGTTACTGGCTAGCTGTGTGAATCAGGCAAGTCATTGAGCTACTTAATCTTGGTTTCTTCATCTGTAAAGCAGTACCACCTACCTTATGGGGTTCTTAAGAGAACTGAGATAGATAACCTGTTAACCAGCACAG